ATACGAAGTTATACGACTTTGTCTTTGGCTGGAGCGACCTCTCGGTTGTCGTCAGCGTCACGGAAGGGGCGGTATTTCATCGTAGGCGACGTAACGGGTTCAGTCGATGTCAGGAGATTTGGCGACGATGACATCTTGGGTAATCTGCATTTCAGACGCTAGTGGTACTGCAGCTGTGGTCGGCGCTTTGTCTTTGGCGGACCTCTCGGTTGTCGTCAGCGTCACGGAATGGGGCGGGTATTTCCATCGTAGGCGACGTAACGGGTTCAGTCGATGTCAGGAAGATTTGGCGACGATGACATCTTGGGTGCAAGTCTGCATTTCAGACGCTAGTGGTACTGCAGCTGTGGTCGGCGCTTTGTCTTTGGCGGACCTCTCGGTTGTCGTCAGCGTCACGGATGGAGCCGGTATTTCAATCGTAGGCGACGTAACGGGTTCAGTCGATGTCAGGAGATTTGGCGACGATGACATCTTGGGTGTAATCTGCATTTCAGACGCTAGTGGTACTGCAGCTGTGGTCGGCGCTTTGTCTTTGGCGGACCTCTCGGTTGTCGTCAGCGTCACGGATGGGGCCGGGTATTTCAATCGTAGGCGACGTAACGGGTTCAGTCGATGTCAGGAGATCTGGCGACGATGACAATTTGGGTGTCGTTATTATTTCAGATGCTACTGGTACTGTAACTGGCACTTTGGCTGGAGCAGACTTTCTAGGTATGATGAACGTTTTTCAAGTGGAGGTGTTAAAATTGCAGTCTGTGCTTCGGCAGGAGCGAACCTCTCGGCTTGTCGTCAGCATCTTGGACTGAAGTCGCGGTATTTCAATCAATGATGCTGACGTAAGCGGGATCAGGTCGAATACGAAGATTCGGCGACGATAATCTGGGTGCAATCTCTTTCGACCTAAGTGGACTGGCCGGCTGTGGTCGGACGCTTTTGTCTTTGCCACCTCTCGGTTGTGTCGTCAAGTGTCAGGAAGGGCGGGTATTTCCTATCGTAAGGCGACGTAAACGGGATGCAGTCGATTTCGGGAGATTTTGCACGGTCTGACATCTTGGTGGAATCCATTTCACGCTATCGTTTTTGTTTTTTTAGTGGTACTGCAGCTGTGGTCGGCGCTTTGTCTTTGGCGGACCTCTCGGTTGTCGTCAGCATCTTGGATGGTGTCGGTTTTTCAGTCGTAGGCGACGTAACGGGTTCAGTCGATGTCAGGAGATTTGGCGACGATGACATCTTGGGTGTAATCTGCATTTCAGACGCTAGTGGTACTGCAGCTGTGGTCGGCGCTTTGTCTTTGGCGGACCTCTCGGTTGTCGTCAGCGTCACGGATGGGGCGGGTATTTCATCGTAGGCGACGTAACGGGTTCAGTCGATGTCAGGAGATTTGGCGACGATGACAATTTGGGTGTCGTTATTATTTCAGATGCTACTGGTACTGTAACTGGCACTTTGGCTGGAGCAGACTTTCTAGGTATGATGAACGTTTCAAGTGGAGCCGGTGTTAAAATTGCAGTCTGTGCTTCGGCAGGAGCGAACCTCTCGGTTGTCGTCAGCATCTTGGATGGAGTCGGTTTTTCAATCGTAGGCGACGTAACGGGTTCAGTCGATGTCAGGAGATTTGGCGACGATGACATCTTGGGTGTAATCTGCATTTCAGACGCTAGTGGTACTGCAGCTGTGGTCGGCGCTTTGTCTTTGGCGGACCTCTCGGTTGTCGTCAGCGTCACGGATGGAGCCGGGTATTTCAATCGTAGGCGACGTAACGGGTTTCAGTCGATGTCAGAAGATTTGGCGACGATGACATCTTGGGTGCAATCTGCATTTCAGACGCTAGTGGTACTGCAGCTGTGGTCGGCGCTTTGTCTTTGGCGGACCTCTCGGTTGTCGTCAGCGTCGCGGATGGGGCGGTTCATCGATGTCAGAGCAGATTTGTGCGACTTGCATGATTATCTTGAGTGAATATCTGCATTCAGAACGCTAGTGGTACTGCAGCTGTGGTCGGGGCTTTGTCTTTGGCGGACCTCTCGGTTGTCGTCAGCGTCACGGATGGAGCCGGTATTTCAGTCGTAGGCGACGTAACGGGTTCAGTCGATGTCAGGAGATTTGGCGACGATGACATCTTGGGTGCAATCTGCATTTCAGACGCTAGTGGTACTGCAGCTGTGGTCGGCGCTTTGTCTTTGGCGGACCTCTCGGTTGTCGTCAGCGTCACGGATGGAGCCGGTATTTCAATCGTAGGCGACGTAACGGGTTCAGTCGATGTCAGAAGATTTGGCGACGATGACATCTTGGGTGCAATCTGCATTTCAGACGCTAGTGGTACTGCAGCTGTGGTCGCGCTTTGGTTCTTTGAGTCTAGCTGTTGTCGTCCGCAGCTTGGATGGAGCCGGTTTTTCAATCGTACGCGAGGTAACGGGTTCAGTCGATGTCAGGAAGATTTGGCGACGATGACATCTTGGGTGCAATCTGCATTTCAGACGCTAGTGGTACTGCAGCTGTGGTCGGCGCTTTGTCTTTGGCGGACCTCTCGGTTGTCGTCAGCGTCACGGATGGGGCGGGTATTTCAATCGTAGGCGACGTAACGGGTTCAGTCGATGTCAGGAGATTTGGCGACGATGACATCTTGGGTGCAATCTGCATTTCAGACGCTAGTGGTACTGCAGCTGTGGTCGGCGCTTTGACTTTGGCGACTCTCGCTTGTCGGTCAGCATCTTGTGAAGTTGCTTTTCCGCCATCATAGCAGCGTACGGGATCATTCGATGAAGAAATGTCGCGACAGCATTACACATCTTTGGTTGCAATCTGGCATTTCAACGCTAGTGAGTACCTGGAAAAAAACAAAGAAAAGAAAAAAAAAAAAAACAAAAAAAAAACAAAAATCCTGTAGTCGGCCGCTTTGTTTTGCTGGAGCCTCTCGTTTAGTCAGCATCTGGATGGATCGGTTTTTTCAATCGTACGCGCAGGCTACGGGTTCAGGTTCGCCTGTCAAAATTTAGACGAGATGACGTCTTGGGTGTAATCAGCATTCAGACGCTAGTGGTACTGCAGCTGTGGTTGGCGTTTGCTTTGTCTTTGGCGGACCTCTCGGTTGTCGTCAGCGTCTTGGATGGAGCCGGTATTTCAAGTCGTAGGCGACGTAACGGGTTCAGTCGATGTCAGGAGATTTGGCGACGATGACATCTTGGGTGTAATCTGCATTTCAGACGCTAGTGGTACTGCAGCTGTGGTCGCGCTTTGTCTTTGGCGAACGGGCGGTATTTCAGTCGTAGGCGACGTTAACGGGTTCAGTCGATGTCAGGAGATTTGGCGACGATGACATCTTGGGTGCAATCTGCATTTCAGACGCTAGTGGTACTGCAGCTGTGGTCGGCGCTTTGTCTTTGGCGGACCTCTCGGTTGTCGTCAGCGTCACGGATGGAGCCGGTATTTCATCGTAGGCGACGTAACGGGTTCAGTCGATGTCAGGAGATTTGGCGACGATGACATCTTGGGTGTAATCTGCATTTCAGACGCTAGTGGTACTGCAGCTGTGGTCGGCGCTTTGTCTTTGGCGGACCTCTCGGTTGTCGTCAGCGTCTTGGATGGAGCCGGTATTTCAATCGTAGGCGACGTAACGGGTTCAGTCGATGTCAGGAGATTTGGCGACGATGACATCTTGGGTGCAATCTGCATTTCAGACGCTAGTGGTACTGCAGCTGTGGTCGGCGCTTTGTCTTTGGCGGACCTCTCGGTTGTCGTCAGCGTCTTGGATGGAAGTCGGTTTTTTCATCGTATGCGACGTAACGGGTTCAGTCGATGTCAGGAGATTTGGCGACGATGACATCTTGGGTGCAATCTGCATTTCAGACGCTAGTGGTACTGCAGCTGTGGTCGGCGCTTTGTCTTTGGCGGACCTCTCGGTTGTCGTCAGCGTCACGGATGGGGCGGTATTTCCATCGTAGGCGACGTAACGGGTTAGTCGATGGTCAACAGGATTCGCGACGCTGAATTCTTGGTGCAATCTTGCATGTTCAGAGCTATGTCTGGGAGCGTGTCGGACCTTTTGAATCTTTGGCGGACCTCTCGGTTGTCGTCAGCATCTTGGATGGGGCGGGTATTTCCATCGTCGTAGGCGACGTAACGGGTTCAGTCGATGTCAGGAGATTTGGCGACGATGACATCTTGGGTGCAATCTGCATTTCAGACGCTAGTGGTACTGCAGCTGTGGTCGGCGCTTTGTCTTTGGCGGACCTCTCGGTTGTCGTCAGCGTCACGGATGGAGCCGGTATTTCAATCGTAGGCGACGTAACGGGTTCAGTCGATGTCAGGAGATTTGGCGACGATGACATCTTGGGTGCAATCTGGCATTTCAGACGCTAGTGGTACTGCAGCTGTGGTCGGCGCTTTGTCTTTGGCGGACCTCTCGGTTGTCGTCAGCGTCACGGAAGGGGCGGGTATTTCCATCGTACAGATTGTAACAGATGTATGGTGGAAGTTTGTCTGCGTAACAGCTCTGTGAATTCTTCCAAATTGTTCATCAAAACAAACGCCATTTTTTGCTTTCCTCGTTCTTCCTTTTTAGCACGGCCCTCAAGCTAACGATTTATTTAGGTTGTGGAATAGTGATCTTTCCGTAGGTGATTCTTTTGAGAGTAGCTAGAGCTAGCCACACATGCGCCCACATCAAACAGCGCAATAACGCAGACGTCTGTGGTTAGGGTGCCCAGCACTCTCTCACTAAATGGAGGAGATGTCCTTGTTCAATGAAGCTGATTACCTCTGGAGGCAATTTTTCAGCTGAAGTCCGCAACAAAGGAAACGATGGACACTGCGCTTAGAATGTTCTACGGGAGTAAGGATTACATCGGATGGGCCAAGGGCCTGCCAGAGGAATTACGCCCAAGACCATACTTGTCCTCGTTATTAAACAGTTTTTTTGCTGTTGCCGTGAGTGAGAGTTTCGTGAAAAACAACTTTTTCTTTGAAGAACAATTTATATCCATGGATCTTTTGTTTCTGAATAAAAGTTCACCGGAATCACATATTCCAATATTAGTGACGACAGCAGTCGTTCATATATCAAGCTATGAAAACATCTGGTCGTCATAGGTGCTTTGTTCATAAAGGGTATACGCAATATAAGCGGCACAAAAACGGACCAGTTATCTATAATGCATATTGGTTGCTTCCATTCTTCTCTCTGATTGACTTCCATTTATCGCTCTTTTGTATAGGCTGGCAAATGTGGATGTTATCTGGATAATTGCTTGTAGTTTATGGGGTCTTACGACAGGTTGGCAAAATAGCTTATACTTCGGGGAGGAGTTGCTTATCAGTTTTTCGCAAGGAAGGGCAGTGGATTGGCGAAAACTCTCTTTACTTGGCGTACATGACAAACTTTTTTCACAGAGGGGGATGTAGGTTTCATGGCAGAATACGTGATACTCAGATGTTCTCCCATGAGCAGAAGCAGGCCCTCACTCACTGCCCTCGCCGTCCTCAAAGCATGACGTCATCTG